CCAAGAAACATGATCAGGATATATAGTGTAAAATATAAAGAAGATAGTGTTTAGTATTTCTTAGTATAAAGAATTGTTTAATGATAGTGAAAAATAATTTTGAGAGTAAAGCATAAATATACCTTTGTGGAAATTGTTGTTATGATTTAAATATAAATAAATTGGAAGAAATTGTATTAACATTGTTTGCATTTAAATAAATAAAATATTGAGATTCACTGTGAGATGTGGATTTGATCTCAAAATACTTATTAAAAAAATGAAGTTTGTATTGACTGTAAATGAATATCATTAATATTAATTACAACAAAACCTTTTAAAAATCAAATGACTGACATCACATTAAGAAAAAATCAAATTAATCATCTTGCAAATTGAATGATTAATGCACCATTAAGAAAAATGTCAAATGATTAAACTAATGATTTCTAAAAATAAGATTTAGTTGTGAACATAATTTACTAAAATAAACCTGTCAGATCCTTCTGTCCATTAAATATATATTGAACACAAGAATTATTTATGAAATATGGATGTTAATCTGTCATCTGAAGGATAATCAATCCCTTTTGTTATTAGGATTCATACAGAGAATAATTTGGCATTTCATTTTGTGTAATGAATTTCTTTTTTGTATTGATTGATTAATAGGCTTCTAAAAATATATTTAAAGAATGGCTAATTCCTTCTTTTTGCCTTCATAATCTTCCACTTCTCTCTTCAACTCATTCAACCTCTTGTTTTGCAAAAAATTTTTATTCAAAAACTTTGATCATAAACAAAAAACATACACAATGGGGTAATGAAAAAGTTCCAAATTTCTATTGCTATATAACTCAATTATACATGAAGTCAAAATTAAAACCCCAAAGCTGAAATGTTTCAACTACATAGTGAAAATCAGTTTCGACCTTATTTTGACCCTATTTTGACCAGATCTGCAAATGGTCAAAATAGTTTTGACTTCATGTATAAACTCAATAACTCAATAACTCAATTAACTCCTTATATTCCCTAGTTACTGTAAAGTTTATGAATATCCATTAAAAAATACCATTATACATGCAGCCCAAAGTATTTTGACACTGTCATAAAGGGGGTTACACATGTAGTAAAGGGGTGTTACACTTATGTTTTTAATAGTGAATGCCATAATTAATTTCTACTTTCTACCATCAAAATTGGAATAATTTTGACCATCAAAATCACCAAACCAATTTGGGCTTCATGTATAAATACCATAAAAGAATCTAATGGTAGATGCTCTAAAGAAGAAAACCTTAAAGAAATAGATGGTGGACATGTAAAAAGAAAGAACTTCAAACTTGTTTTTAAAGGTAGCCAATAATCTATTCATGTAATAAATTGAAAAAAAAATTATAATATATTAATTTAATATTTATTATTAACAAATATACTTTATTATATTAGAATAATTCCATTTTTTATTGATATTTTTGAGCATAATTCTATTTTTATTGATAACCAAAAATTCCATTTTTGTTAACAATAAATCATTGATGGTTTTGGGTATAATTCTATTTATTATACTAAGTCATATGATTTCATTTTCTAAAACTGTCCACTATATCAATTTCATATGTTTTACTAATAAACTTTAAAAAATTGAAAATAAAACACCCCTGTAATCAAAAAAATGATTGTACAAATGTGACTCCAAAAAACCCCAACTTTATATTATCTCCAAGATATTTATTTGATATAAAAATTATTTATATTTTTTTTCTTTTCCAAGATATATGAGGATCAGGTCATAAGATAGTAAAAATATTGTTAAAAAGAAAGGTAGAACACCATAAAACTGGTAGAAACATATTTTAGAAGATATTTCCAATAAATATAAGCATAAAAAAATTTTTTTTTCAAAAAGCTTTATTTTATTTAAATATTGGACTCTTCTTTTATCAAAAAAAAAAAAAAACATGACCACTACTTCTCTTTCACCTCAAGGAATGAAAATTTTTTGGATCAAAAAGTGTATTTATTTTATTTGAAAAGTTTACAAAGCAAAAACGTTATTTTGTTATATAAAATGGCAAAATTTTGTGAATTTCAAGGGTAACATTCTTGTTGAACCCCATATCCCTAGATTAAGGGTAGGGGGAATCACGTGTCAATTTATATGTAGATCAATGGCTCAAAAATTTGAATTATAGAAGTTGCATAATAAAAGTTATGCAAAACACGTCCAAAAATTTTCCATATGTAGATTATAAGCCCCTTTAATTTATTGTAAAATTTCAAACAAAATAATTTAGTAAAAACTTTTAATTTCTTCAAAAAACATACTAATCCCATAGTAACCAATACTAGTCCCTTAGTAAAAGGTATTATTTCTTTCATATAAGCTATTCACTCTAAGGATACTGGCTGCAACTTTTGATGATGGTTCCAAATTTTCACTTCATAACACATATAAATCGGAAATGATTTATATGCTTGTTTCTTGTGATCTATAATTTACTATTTTACAATACATATTATGGCTAAAACTCTTAAAGGCACAGATCCTAGTTATTCAATCTTAACAAAAGAATAAATTCATTTGATTATCTATTAATGTAAAAAATGGAACATGAATTACTAATTATCACTAGTTGAATTTATTGAATAATTTACCTTATTTTAATTGTAATTTTAGCAATTTCAATTGATTTTATATATGCAAACATACATATGTATGTGCATATGTATTAAAAAAAAAAATCAATAACCAAAAACTCTCAATTTGTTGAAAAAAAAAAAAAAAATCCAATAAAAAAGTATGAATTTGCTAACAATATTTTAGTAGAAGTGAATATAATCAGTATAATTGTTCAAATTCATAATTAAAATAAATAATCTACCTAATTTCTTACATTTATTTTTTTTTTTGATTTAGATCTAGTCTTTATACTAGATTTAACAACACCTTCTTTCTTTTTAACTATTTACCATATGTAAATTTTATTAATAAAATAAATAATTCGTAAAAACAAATTCATTAATAAAACAAAAAATTTGTAAAAACAAATTTCAAATTAAAATTAAAATTTTATTACTGGTTTTTGTTCAGCATTATTATTATTAATATTTTCTTCATCAACATCATCATTAGCAGGATGTTTTCTGTTATTTGTAATCATGACAAGATTATAGCTATCTTTATTACCCCCCTATTGTGTAAATTTCTTACACTTATTTTTTTGATTTAGATCTAGTCTTTATACTGGATTTAACAACACCTTCTTTTGTTTTTTTTTAAACTATTTACATATATAAATTTTATTAATATTTGTAAAACAAATTTTGAAATTAAAAGTTAAAATTTTATTACTGTGTTTTTGTTCAGCATTATTATTATCAACATTTTCTTCATCAACATCATCATTAGCAGAATATTTTGTTATTTGTAATCATGACAAGATTATAGCTATCTTTATTACCACTTATTGTGTAAAAAATTAGTGATATATACAATCATCTTCAAATACAAATATTTATAATAATAATAAATTTTCTTACTGTTGATAATATGGAATTTCAGCATTACTTTTCATAGGATAGTAGAAAAAGTGGTATCTACACTCCCTAATGGATTATCTTTTATCATTTAAAAGTTCTCAAGCTCTTTTGATATCAGACTTGAATTATATCAAGCAAATCAGAATGTAAAAAAAATTAAAAAAGAAGCCAGAAATACACATTGTGAATAAGTTAGATTATGATCTGGAAAATTGGAAATGCTGTTGATAAATCATTTAAAGACAATAATTTGAGTTTAACAATATTTATTATGTCCACAGAAAATTAATACTAACATTCACTTGCAAGCATTGTGGAAATTTGGATATAAACTCAAAAGGATGGAGAGTTAAAGTCTGGAGCCATTATTTAATAATAATAAAAATAGTACTAGGAGCCTTTGTAATATTAATATTGAATTATTTTATTATTATTATTGTTATTTATGATGATCGACATTATTTTTTTGAGCCATTGTTTACTATTAAATATACCACGTGATTCTCCCTACCCTTAATTTGCAAAATAGTTTGATCTACAACCCCATATTTTATTTGTTACACGAAATTCGATAAAAAAATTTACTATTTCTTAATCATATGGCAAAAACACAAGACCTCAATTTTAAGGTTTGTACATACAAAACTTCTTGTAAATTTGTGAAACTTAAATGAAACTTTTTTTATAGATTCTCCAGGATTAGGACTATCGACCAGCATACTTGTAATAACTTTTAATAATAAAGTTTTGTTGAGAAGACAGTATGAAGTTAACATACATTGCGAATTCTATAGGTAAAGTTACGAATTCTTGTCCTCTACTATATGTTTTTGTTAAATTAAGAAAAACTAAATGAACAGCCTTTAAGATATCTTTAATTGCTATAAATTAATATAAAAGATACTTTGAATTTTATAAAAAGACAAAGCTATACTAATAATATTTTATTTTATACAATTATTATATATAATAAATAGAAATGAGACATAATAATAATCTTGTCATCTTTCAACACCAACTATAGAATATTCACATGAACAAATTTAGCAAGAAGCGTTTTTGGAGTGGTAATATATTGCTAGATATTCAAGTAGTTCTTCACGCAAGCTTTCCATTCTCTGTAAGTAACTACTATGTCTAGTATTTTACATATTTTCAAGGTAATATGTTTTTAATTATAAATAATTTGATACAAGAAAGTTAACATGCAGATAATGTTACTTATGAAGCAATAATAATGTTAAACAGGAATGCATCAAAGGCATTAGAATAATTATTGGAATTCATTCAATTCAGTGAATCATTGGGAAGTTGTACAAGAGCTTTTCCAATCATTGGGTTTTACTGGTATAGATGATGATTGAATTCTCTCTGATAATCAAGTGAAAGTTGCATTAGAAACATCTCATGAAAGGTTTATAGAAATTCAAAATCAATCTTCATTGCACTTTGGCTTTAAATCTTGTGCAAAAGAAATGCCAGATATTAATTTGGCTATAAAGACAATTAATGCAATTGCTGGCAACTATTGCAGTTATACTATAAAAAGCAAACGAAAATTGATAGGAGCTAAAGGACAACAGATTTGGAAATATTCATATCAAATTGACCGAAATCCATATAAAGGACTTGGTTTTGATAATCAAGATGTGATAACTAGAAATTCACACAATCCTATAGCACCAGTTCTTCCACCATATAAACCATATCCAACACTAATTCCAACAGGTACTAGCTAAGAAGTATAATCTCTGGTGAAGAGAGACTGCTACATTTGGCTAATTATTCATCTCAGGTAAGAGGATTTTTGTTACCCCTTACAATAAGTGCAGGAAAAAATTCAATTCCGAAATTATTACATAAAAGTATGATCCAATTTTTTGATCCAAAATAATACACCAAAGTAAGAAATTTTCAATGATCCAATTTTTTTGATATAGTGATATGCAAAAGTGCAAACAAATCTTTGATATGGTAATACATAAAAGTATGATCCAAAGTAATAATGCAAAAGTATAATCAATTTTTTGATTCAGTAATATGTGAAAGCATCAACCATATGAAAAAGCTTCATAGAGACTCAAAGCATAGCATACTTGTGGTAATACATCAAGGTAGAATAACATAAGGAAGGGATAAGAGAAAATTTGCTTTGGTGTATTACCAAGTGAAGATAACAATTTGGCACTATGTGCCTCACTCTCAATTGTTATTTGAATGTGACATGCAAAACCAGATCATGAATACTATTTCGGCACTTTGTGCCTCAAACCTGGCATTTGAATGCAACATACAAAGCCAAAATACAGATTGCCAATTTGTCATTTCATGCCTCATCCTCTGCAATTGACAAAATTGGCAGTTCGCCTAGGAAATGTATTGTTATAGAGATATAAGAAATGTGTATTTTTATGAATTAGTTTTTTTGCTCCAAAGTGGGGGGATAGATGTTCTATTTATACATTTTCAAAGTAATTTATTAGACCACTCAATCAATGTACAATTTGGTCATGAAATAGTCTAATTTATTAATAATTACATCATTGCGGATTTGCAAACCAGGATGCTTTGCATCCAGTTTGGGCATGCCCTCACAATCAGCATGTTGTGCCTCAGCCTTGGTGGGGAAAACATTCACAAACCAATCAAAAGCCAGCAACCACAACAATGTACATGACTTTGAAAGAAAGAAAAAGAGCCACTGGAGCATACAACACAACCTAGCAAGATCATAATCATAGTTATACCTACCTAATTTAGTCATAGTAGTAGATACATAGTCTAGTCATAGTATATACATAACATGGCTAAGGTTTCTGGTCCAAACTGTTTCTCAAAGCCCAAACTAGTTTGGGCAATTTTGGCTACTAATAGAAGCAGTTTCGACCAGAAACCCTAAACCTGGCTAAGTAGGTACATAATCTTAAAGCAGACCTGGACACTTTACCGACACCCACTTTACTGACAAGACAACATACAACATGATATTTTAGCATTTTGTTAGTTTGTTTGATTGTGTAGAGATTAAATGTAACCCTGTGTGTTGTCAGTAAAGTAGGTGTCGGTAAAGTGTCCCAGACCCTCTTAAAGATTATGTACCTACTAAGCATATCATAAAAAAAGGTTATTTCCACTAATACTCACTTAACTACCAAGGGCCATTCATTAAAGTCAACAGTAAGAAATATTAAATGAGCCACCAATGTATCAGTAACAGCTTCACTTGTTCCTATATCAAGTTCTGCATTCTTGACAACTTCATGCAATTTGGAAATGAATGCTTTATTGACTCAATTGGTTAATATTTAGGTTTCTTTTTCTAGGACATCATGATTGATACTCTGGAGAACATATTCTAGTGGAATGTTGACTGCATTGATTTAAGTCATAAGTATTGAGTTGCTAAAAGGAATGTTATACAACATTAAGAATAACTAAGTTTGCTTCCCTAGCTGACCGGAAATTTGCTCTCAATGCACAAACATCTTGAAGAGTGAACAATGATGCAGAATGCCGATGTTCTGAATCTTCACTACCCCTGATCTGGTAATGGCAATTTTTATTTCAAGTTAGAGTTTCAATGAATTTTACAATAACTTGGTTACATCTGTTTTAGGAGCATAAGATTTTCTAACAAAAATCCATTATTGTCTTTAATTAATGATTCAATATCATCATACAGAGAATCATGTTCAGCAAGTGCAATCTCTATTATAGATTCTATACATTTTTGTTGATTTCTGAATTTGAGAATCCCACTCTTTAGTAAGATATTTATTTTTGTTAAATTGCTCTTTATATAAGTCATGAATTTGATATATGTGATCATAAAAGGTGGTGTTTAATTTATTTTTTAACTTGCTACCTCATTTTTATATTTTTCTAGTTGTTGTTGCTGTTGTGCAATTTTATTATTAAGTTCCATAATAATTATTGATTGTTGCTGACATTCCAATTCATTATCCACTGGCTTATCTTTTAGTTTCTTAACATTCCAATTCACTCCTCACTAGCTTGTCTTTAATTCTCCCAAAATATCAGACTCACTAATAATGTTATTGCCTCCAATATAATTTTTTTCTCTTGTACAGGTGTGTGTTTCTAAGGATGTTGGCTGAATGGAATTTGAAAAAGTCACTTTCAGCAAACAATTTCAGATTTACAATACTCTTTATATCAATAGACATAAAAAAACTACCCAGAATTTCAGCTATCAAGTTAAAGTGTTCAAATAATTTTGGATATAATTTCAACAACTAATATGTTGCTTTGTTGCAGCATGTCCTACATTATACATGCAGCCCAAAGTATTTTGACACTGTCATAAAGGGTTACACATGTAGTAAAGGGGTTACACATGTAGTAAAGGAGTGTTACACTTATGTTTTTAATAGTGAGTGTCGTAATTAATTTCTACTTTCTACCATCAAAATTGGAATAATTTTGACCATTGAAATCACCAAACCAATTTGGGCTGAATGTATACCCTACATTATTATAATAAAAGTTTTAATTCTTCCAGAGCAGGTAAATATTTAATGTTAAATTCCCTTTATGATTAATGATTGATGCGTTATATTATTTTATAGTATCAGCAAACCCCAAACTTGAAAATAATTCACTTTATTTGTTTAGAGATTTAACACGTCATTAATTAAATACTCCTAAATTAATCTAGAGTTAATTTAGATCTACCACCCTTTTGATTATTATTATATTATCAAGATGTAAAAAAACGTGAAAAAGGTAGATCAGTTTGACCTTTTGTTTTGATTTATAGAAATAAATCCCTCACGAAATCCATTTTATCTAAGAAAATTTTTTTATTTTTAACTAATTCTAATATATTAGATTATCAAATTTCGAGGGATTAAAAAAAAAAGATAATTCTAAATTATTCACATGCTTTGATGACACTAATTTTGGTAATGAATATAAAAACATATTAATCAATCAAATTTGAAATTTTGATTCATGTGTACATACATGATTTTTATTTGAAATTATGCATAAGAGTCTTTTTGTAAAAATAAACACTTTTTTCCCTACAACTTCTAGAGAAAATTGGGGAAGAATTAAATAATAGCATTATCAAAACGATTATTAAAAAGATAACGATTATAAAACAATAGAATGGTGGATCTTGACTTTATTAAGGGGTTATGGGCTTAAATTAATTAAATTAATTGTATTACAAGCCTTCTTTTTACCGCTTTAATTAATATTTAATCTACATCTATCTTACAAATCTGGTCTTGATATCCTATATTTGTGTATATAAAAGCCAAGAGATTAAAAATTCCCAACAAAATAAATAATATATATTAATATTAATTTTCCTGAAAAAAATAAAAATACATTTCAATTTCTTCAATTATGTCAACTCATAAAACTAGTAGTAGCAAAACATCCGTTAATTCTTCCTCCTATAGTAGTAATGATGGTGTGGTTTACACTACCACCACCACCACAAAAACTACAAAAAATCAAGTCGATGATGGTAATATAGAAGTAGAAATAACGAATGAATCATCTTCCAGAGATCAAGTTTCCTATTTGAAACATGATAATGAATCTTTACCTGATGATTTCAATTTCTTTGTCAAGCCAAATCAATCTGTTGATTATAAATTATCAGATTGTAGTGGCAAAAAAAAAAGTTTGCTAATTGGAATTAATTATTATAACACTTCTTACACATTAAAAGGTATACATTGATTGATTAGATGGTTGATTGGTTGATTGATATTGCTGATTGACCGATAATATTTGTTATTGACAAATATGTAAATGTGATGAATATAAATATTTTTAAATATTTTAGCTAATTAATCCAATTATTAATGATATAGGATGTATTAATGATGTACAGAATATAAAAAAGTTCATAATTAATACTTATGGGTTTAGTGAATCTAATATGCTTATATTGACCGATGATCAACTTGACCCTTCAAAAATACCTACTAGAGAAAATCTTTTGAATGCTATGAAATGGCTTGTTTCAGGTGCTCAAAAAGATGATTCGTAAGTTACTATAATCGATTGCATGCACTGTTTATTAGTCAATTGATATATTACTAAGTGGAAAATTATTATTATTTTACCAAAAAAAAAAAAAGATTATTCTTTCATTATAGTGGGCATGGTGGTCAATTAGCAGATTCTACTGGCGATGAAGAAGATGGTTTTGATGAAACTATTATGCCAGTTGATTTTCAAACAAAAGGTCAAATCATCGATGATGTAAGTTGTTAATTGGTATATGTGTTTTAGTATATGTATGTGATTTAAAGCATATGCAATTAAATTTTACTTTATTTTGATCTTTACTTTTACATGTTAATAGGAAATGCATCATATTCTGGTAGAATCTCTTCCACTTGGTAATTATTTCATGAATAAATCTATTTTTTAAATCAATATTCCCAACATAAAGCTAACCTAATACATATATATTATTCTTTTTTAGGCGTCAGATTAACGGTAGTTTTTGATTGTTGTCATTCAGGAACCGTTCTCGATCTACCATACGTCTACTCAACTCGTGGTGTAATCAAGCGTCCAAATTCCTTTAAAAAAAATGTGTTTTCGGTTGGTATAAAATATTTACATGGAGAAGTCGAAGGGTTGAAAAGTACTCTGTCGAATGCGTTCTCTAGTTCAAAAATTCGTAGAAAAAATATAGCAACAAAGGCGAGTCCTGCTGATGTTATAATGTTTAGTGGGTGTGTATTGGAGGGTGACGAAATGGGCGATTAGAGTGAGGAGGGGATTATAACGATTTTTTGAATTATAACAATAATAATTTAATTCTTAAATTAATAGGTGTAAAGATGAACAAACATCTGCTGATGCACATGAAGCAGGTCAAGCTACTGGCGCAATGTCTCACGCTTTGGTTAAATCGTATGGAGTTTTATATATATATATATATTATTATATTATACTAATTAATTATTTGTTTCTTCCCAAAGCAATACACTTAATATATTGTTTATTTTTTATTTTATTATAAAGTTTAACACAGAATCCACATCCTACATACAAAGAGCTGTTAATCTCGATTAGAGACATTCTTAAAGCAAAATATGCTCAAAAGCCTCAATTAAGCGCGTAAGTAAAGGTTTTTTTTCTAAAATAAAAAAATTTTTAAAATGAAAATCAAAATAATAACCATTTTTCCTTTTTTTAGATCACATGAAATGAATATGAATGATGTTTTCAAAATGTAAAAAAAATTTTAACCATATTTATTTAAAAAAAATGGACACGTGATGTCATCGTAAAATATTTATTTGTATATTTTTTACATAAGGTGTTTAAATAATATGTAAGGTGTTAACGTTAATAATATATTTTATTTCCAAATTAACTTAAATCTCTAAATTCGACAAGTTTTTCACTTTTCGCTTGTGCTAAATTAAAAAAAAAATTTATTTTTAAATAAAAATATTATTATTATTACTACTGTTGATTTTTTTACTTACTTTCAGATACTACAATATATCCACCCCCAACTTCGCAATCTTTTAATTGGCATTTTTCCATTATTTTTGAATTGTTACATACAACACATCCATCCAATTTTACACTTCGAAAGGAGAAAAATAATGTATTTATTAAAAAGAAAAAACCTATATAAATATATTTAAATATTTAAATAATAATTAAATCCTTACTTGTCTTCTATAATTACATGATCCATTATAACCGAATTTGATATTTTCACATTTTTTCCAATAACACAATGTGTACCAATTGTTGATCGTTTTATGGAGGTACGATCGTCAATCTTGGTATCATCACCTACCAAAGAATCCGATCCAACCTACAAGAAAAGGAATTAATAATAATTAACGAATAGATTTTTAAACATGTATATAGCATATATAATTAGGAATACTTGTGTTTTTGGGCTGATTACTGCAGATTGTGAGACACGAGTTTCTGTACGTATTTTAGTCATCTATTTTTATAATATATATGTTTTTATAAATGATTCAGTAAAGATAAACAAATAATCAACAGCCTTTTCTTATTCTTATAATAGCATATACATACATGACGATTCAAATCGCAATATTTTGGTACCGTATTACCACGTCCACAAAATCCATTTTTATAAATATATATTTGACATTTAATTGTTGAGCATATATTAGTATTGTTATTATTACTACTATCATCATCATCATTATCATCATCATCAACCCATGTTGTAGAATAATCAAGTGCTACTTTTTGAGAATCTTGAGTTTTGGCAACTATTGTTATTTCAAAGGATCAATTAATCAACAAATAAAGTAATTATAATTATGATAATGACATATGATTGGTTACATTCATTGATTCCTTCTTTATCGATTAATTTTTTTTGATATTGACATTTCACTAATAATGGAATGAGTTGTTCACGTATGCTAGATATTGATTTTTTATTCACGATTAAATCAATCACCCATCTTTTAAAAATGTAAAGATGCGAATCTTGTAATTTTGTAAGAATATTTAAACGTGGAAATCTATTTATGTTTATATTATATTTATATATTGTATTATTATTCTTATTATTTGATAGTAATAATCGTGATAATATTTATAGTAATAATATATATATAAATTATATGCTCACTTCCATAATAGTGACATACGCACAGAAAGTTCTTCATCCAAATCTGCACTCGATGCAAGATAAACTAAACGTGATTTTGTTACGTCAACACCAACAAACTGCTTAACTTGTAATTAAAATTATTAAATTAACAAAGAATAAAAAAAGTTCACATATAAAGAGGAAAAAACATTCACACAGACTTACCATCATCTTTACAACCACTACTTCCACCGCTACCTCCTGTTACACCTTCTGATTTTTTTGGTTCGGAATAAAGTGCCGTAAAAGTAGGATTATGCTTTCGATGATAATCCAATAATTGATGTGGTGGCAAATCCAAAATTAAATCACAACTTATTATTATAAAATCATTCTATGATAAAAATTGTTATTATTAATATTTTTCTCTTTTTAAAAAAGAAATATATACAAATAGGGAAATATATATATATTTACATAGATCTTGTCTTTCACACATCTTAATACATCAGCAGTACCAACATCTTCTTTCACAACTTCCAAAATCGGTTTTAATTTTCCTTCATACACATTCTTAATATATTGTCCTATCTTATACTCTCCATTTGATTCCGTGATAATGATTACATCTTAAAAGAGAATGTATATAGATTTGATTATTATAGTTTTTTTAAAAAAAGAATTAATCCCAAAAGTATTGTTGTTACAAGTAACTACAATTATTATATTATTATTAAAAGTTTTACCAAAAATTCCTGCTCTTTCTAACCAGTCCAAAACATAGTAAAGCATTGGCTTATTGGCAATCGGCAATAATGCTTTTGGTACATTATTATCTTCGGTGAGTGGATAAAGTCTTTAAATAGATTACCATACCCAAACATAAAATATCATTATCCTTATATTATCCTTATTATCCTTATATCCTTATATCCTCATTATTATAGTATATATATAAAGAACCAATTAAACTAATTACCTGTTACCATAACCTGCTAAAACAATTGCTTGAAATTCGGTGTATCGAACTTGATGTTTTTGTTTTCTTTCAGAGTCAAAAAGTAGCATTTTTGCTTTGTTTTTTTTAAAGCCTTGCGATAATCGTTATTGATAGTAATAGATGGACGATAACGTTCTCGTGTAACTAAATATTTTCCTTAAAAAAAAGGGTCCATTTTTTACTGCGGGATGATAAATACTATTACTTGTGTGACATTTTGCCTCCAAAATTAGATAGATCTTTTTTTTTCCACTCGAATTTACTTATTAATATTAATAATTTATATAAGCTGACAAAATGGCAAGTATTATTCAACCAACGAGTTCTGAATGATTTTTCTTATTATTTAAATGCCTTCTTAAAAAAAATATTTTTTAGTCAAGCTCTAGGAAAAAGCTTGTAACAAAAGATGACTGGGTAAAAAAATTGTCAGAAGTTAAAATTGATAAATCGTATGTTTTATTATTATTAATATATATAATATATATTATTCCTTTTATACCGTTTTAAATTATTTGTTGAAAATAATATTCTAATAATAATTTTTACTAATAGAGATTTAAATAAACTTATTATGAATTACTTTGTGATTGAAGGATATAAAGATGCAGCTGAAACATTTAGTCAAGAATGTGGCATATCACCAAGCATTGATGTAGATTCGATAAATGATAGAATGAATATAAAAAATGCCATTCAAAATGGTAATGTTGAAGAAGCAATTGAACGTGTAAATGATTTAAATCCAGAGGCAAGTGTTATAATTATAATTGTTTTTATTGCTCTCTATAAAAGGTGCATAAACATATATATATATATATAAGCGACAATGATTAGAATATGGTTCTTGTAACGCTCTCAGACCATTATGGTCGATGAAGATAAAAATCATTTTTCAGTCTTCAACATGAGTCAATATAATAAAATTATTATATTAATTCACTACCGCTTTTTATTTTTATTTTTATTTATTCCTTTTCTTACCTTCGTTCCTTTTGAATGTCTTCAGATATTAGATACAAATCCAAAATTATATTTCCATCTTCAACAACAAAGATTAATAGAATATATTAGACAAGGAAGAGTATCTGAAGCTTTAGAATTCGCACAAGATGAGTTAGCACCTCTAGGAGAAGAGAATGTAGGTTACAATTCAAACAAATACGTCTGTTAATATAAGATAGATTGTATAAATATGTGCGCGCGTAACTAATTGATATATATAATATAAAAGCCTGAGTTTCTTGAAGAACTCGAGAGATCAATGGCATTGTTAGCGTTTGATGACACAACCACATCCCCTGTAGGAGATTTACTTCACCCATCACAACGTCTACGTACAGCTAGTGAACTAAATGCCGCAATTTTAACTTCACAAAGTCAAGAAAAAGATCCAAAATTACCAAATTTATTAAAAATGTTGGTTTGGGCTCAAGATGAATTAGATGAGAAAGTAACATATCCCAAGATGAAAAGTTTAACATCTGCCGAATTAACCGAAACTAATAACAATGTTAATGTTAATGGCAATGGAAATGGCGAAGGTGATGATAATGACGATGTTGGTGGCAGTGGCGATGTTGGTGGTGGCGGCGATGTTGGTGGTTTTGGTAGTGGCAGTAATAATATTGATATTAATAATATTGATATTAATAATAATAATAATAACAACAACAACAGCAACAATAGCAATTCCACAAATATAAACGCATCGACATCTACTTCAAATTCTCTTTCAAATTCAACCACAAATTCAACTACAAATCTTTTATATTTAACTTAATTTTTTTAATTCAATTTGTACCACATTAATAATAATAATAATAAAAAAATGTATTATAAAATTTTGTGAAATTTAAATTAGCATTATCTTATATTTTTATTCATTGCCTAAGCTATGGCATATTCAGTGAAAGGACATCACAGGAGCGTGGGTAGATTTAATACTTCATCAATTTCAGCATCAAGCCTTGTAGAAAGACGATGACTGTTCATCATACTGTTAAACATTTTACCAGCAGTATGATAAATCTCAGCGCAAATGTTCCCAATCTAAAACCTTTTTCTTTTTTACTTTGGATAAAATAAACATTACGAAAATCAATGTGACTTGAATTGTTTTTAATGACCTGAAACTATTTGGCCTTCAGGCAACTTTTAAAGCATATTCACAACAGCGAGTTTTTTTATAATTAAAACTTCTATAAATCCTAGTAACCAAAGCATCTTTAGGATCGGCAGCAATGTGTGACCATTTATTATCCTTCTTTGAAAGGACTGCACAATTACAACTTCACGAAATCTCAAGTAATATAACTTTACATTGAATGAATCGAGCAACATAGGCTTCAAAAGGTTTTTATTTACCTTCATTTGAAGAAATAGTAATACTGCTACATTGAATTTTGTTCTTATTAAGCGGATATATTATGTTATTTCACGCTCATTTATTCAATCTTTTAATTGATTAATGTTTTCATTTAGATAAACATATTATGATTATGTGGCTTTGAGCTCTGAAATTGTTGAGGTTGAAATTAATTGGATTAATTGGATTGATTGGATTAATATTGGCAATTCAAAACTCTGACTGATACATATTTAAAAAAATATATTTTTAATTCCAAAATATATATTATATATATAGTGCATTATATATAAAGAACCCCTCATTATAAAATAACGGTAATATTGGATTCGAATATCAGCAGAACCTTCATTTATGATAAATTGAAGGTATTGTAATTCAATTTTATCCCATTCCTCTGTTATTTCATATAAATTTCCATCGCCATCAGTTATTGTTCGTCTAAGATGAAATAAATTTTGAAGAATTTCATAATGACGAACAGGATTGTAAATTGTAGGATAGAAAAGACCCTAAAAAAATTAAAATTTTATAATAATAAGATATATATTAATATGTATATATATATGTGTTAAGATTAAGATGTTACCCTCAAGATGGTCGAGATAATGATGTATTCGTTTATTTTTACAATTAAGGCTAGTAACGTCCTATTTGTGTAAAGTTCAGCTCTGGGCATCTAATAATAATATTGAAATATGAAATGGAAAGGGTTTAATCAAGTGATCGGACAAGTTTAAGAAAAAGAAATGGGGTCATATAAAAAAAGTTTAGTGTACATCAACCAAGAATTGAATTCTTGAAATTCAAGAGGCAATACACCCAAAAACCTCAAATTATTTATAATATTTGAGCAAAGAGACTGGGTAACTCCATAAGGGTTGCAAACAGACCCTTGGAGAGGACTGACTACTCAAAAAGAGGTCTTTACACCCAATACTGGATTTAAATAAAGAAGATAAACCTAATGTAATAAGAATATACATTTCCAAAATCTTGCCTTTAATTGTAGTAATAGTAGTGATGTTAGTGATGGTAGGTAGTAATAGTAATATTGCAGCTATGAAAATAAAATCAATGAATAGGATTGTTATATCAGTATATATAGTGACAGAAACGCGACACGAACAAATCAAATTCTAAATATTACATTTTAGGGTAATTCGATCGGCAATCAGATATATGATTTATTATCTGAAGTATCTGAAGGAAATCTAAATAATCCAAAGGGTAATGTTAATTTTTACCAGACATTACAAATCCGTTAGCATTTTCTTTATTATTTCAGGCTCATATAGTAGTAAATTTTTTAAAATGATGGTTTACTGAAAAGAACCTTCATAAAAAAAAATATTCAGTAAGAAAATTAGTTAATTTAATTTTCATTCAAAATATTTACAATCATGTTATTTTCTTCATCCTATCCATTTCAACTGATATTTTAATACATAAAAAGAATAGGCAATAAGAAATAAATTATCGACAACAACATTGGTAATAGCAATCGTTCATAATGATAATAGTATTCTCATTGTGAGTGAAAGTAAGAAATGAGATAGTGTTAATTCTTTTGTGAAAGTGATTTTAATATTATATTTAACAACTAAAAATGGTAATTGATAATAGATGCTGATACAAATGAAGATATTGTTCGCGTAACCAACAATGATGATGATAACACAGCCTCTATTAACGACACCGACATTTCTGAAGGTTCTACTGTCAATATCAAACCTGCCTACATCTATCTATAATAATTATGAAAAAAACCAGGTCGCATAACTACCGCTCATCGCATCAACAATAATTGCAATTATAAAATATTGATTGCTCAAATAAGTTCTCCATCGCACCACTAAGAAGATTTGTTCTCAACACAAATAATAATTATCCGGAAGACAACAAATTACGCAAAAAATTTGGCAAGGGACCTTGATAAAAGAATCACATAAAATGAGATTTCGAATTGGGGATAACAAAAAATGAAAAACCAGATCCAATGTAGTTGGTAGCGCGTCTATGTGAGGAGAGGGGAAACACATTTAAACTATTATACTGTCTGCAAGTGAAACATTACCATGATAATAATAAGGGTTTAAGAAACATCCGTGTATGTGCTTTGCACGGCGGTGCAGTCATTCAAAATTTTTGTCACCAGCAGCGGTACACTGTCTTTATAGACCCACAACCCAACATAGTCTCAATGGCGAAGGGGATGTGCAACAGTATCTTTGTCCACAGGATGGTCAAATGGCTGTATCCTCAACAAGCAATACATACATTCTTACTAAATATTGACAAAGGACAGAGCAACGCAAATATAAACACATATTCAAAATCAAATTTTTGATTGATTAGAGATGTCAATGAGTTAGTTAAATCAGATCTCATATTTCAATAGTATAATGATAAAAATAAAAAATAATGGAGGTAATAATAATATGATTAATACATTAAACAAAAATGCATATTGCGAAGAATGAAATTCACAAACGAATCAATGAAATCAATTCAAATATATATTAATATTATATATAGTGCACCGTAAAATAATGTAATTAATACATCTATTGGAAACATCATGTTATTAAATAAAAGAATGGTATCGAGTATTAATGGTGGTACCTTAAGCCATAATCACCATCTACATTCAGGGCGGCAAATCGCTTTGTTAGCAAAACCAATTAAGATACATAGCCAGATCATCCAAAAAAAAATTTTTTCTTTGTCTATTTCAGACAAGAAATATTTTATTTTGTCATTATTAGATGCTTTCAAAGCTGACGAGGAGGAGAAATTAGAAGATGAAAGATTATTGTGGAAGATGTTATTTTGTTAAAAATTTAAAGTTAATTAATTAATTAATAAACAACATTATTATTTTTTGCTAGACGGTGGCCACCTAGGCATATTAAGAAGAGGCCACAAAAACGAAAATGATGATATTCGACGAAGATATTACAATTTTGTTGAAGACAACATTTTCTCTACCAATTAAACATTTAAGATTTGTGACCTTAAAAGGTTTTGTTATATTTTATTTATTTTTTACAAGTTAGATATATTTTTATTTATTGATTGATGATATGAAATTTCCTTCTATCATTTAAAATCTAATGGTATTAACAGACCAACACAAAATCAAGTCCAAGGCGCATGGTTTTTTTTATTCAAATAAATACTCGTGATTAAATTTAACATAACGTTATTTGTAGATTGCCTGGAAGGGACATGATTGGAATCGCATTGTGTTTGCATCGGAAGATGAAATGAAATTACTATATTCTAGAGGCGAAACTACAGACAGGAGTGATAATATGTTACTCTGTAAAATTTTTATGCATAGCAAGACAAACATTTTGAAGGGTTATCTGAATTTTTAACAAATAATGACTTTTCCAAGTTATAAATGGGTGTTTAATTACTTCTCAAAAGTTTAAATTATCTTTTTTAAAAAACGAACTAATATAATTACAAAGAAAATTTTTTTAATGAAATAACAGTACATAGAATTAGTCGTCGTTCTGGTAAAATACAACTTTCTTATAAGTAAAAATTGTTCTGAACAAATTTTAAGCATTTGCTAAACAAGAGTTTCGCCAGTACTTGAAGATTCAGAAGATCCAGCAAAAAATCCAAAGATATAACTGAAGGTTGTAGTTTAGTAGTGACCTTAAAAATCGTATTACTGATTGTCCAAAATTAGATATCAAAGAAAACAATAACTTGAAAATATTGTTATTATTTATATTTTAGAAATTAGAGCTAATCTAATAAAATTTCATAGTAACTTATAATTAAAAATATTATTGTTATTGTTAATGATGATAAGCAGTTAAGATATTTGTATAAAAATTTTTATTAACTATGTAGATATATATGTATATTAGTTTTTCTTATTGCTTCTTTCATTATTATTATTACTACCAACATTTCCTCCAGACATGAAATTTGCTATTGCAGCAGAAAAATCTGGCATTTCGGCAAGTGGATTTTGAGCTGGAGTTTCCTGCATTTCTTTCAACGCGTCTTGATCTAAATTGAATATAATCAATTATTTAATATAAACACTTGATAAAAATATAAAAGTAATTATTGATTAATTACATACCCATATTTGCCATCATCTTTGGCATTATAAACAACATCAATACACTAAATCCTAACATTATTATATATGGATTTGCAAAAACACTAATAATACTAAATCCTTCTTTCACCTTTATATATATATATATATAAAAAGATTTTTTTTTACTTGTTAGTAAATAGCAAAAAAAAAGTGAACCTTTTTTTTTTAAATTGAATAATAAGGAAAAAATTTTTTATACCGTAAAATATTCAGATCGAGCTCTTGCATATAATTCTAATGGATACTGCAATTTTGGAGAATTACTATTCCATTCACTACCTGTAATTACTACTGTTGGTTTTATACCTGTTGAACTCACATCAATTCTTAACTTTTTTAAAAAAAAATAGTACTAATTAATATATAATACGATAAATAAAATAATATATAGTGAAAAACCAAAAAAAAAACCTTTGGATAAATGAATTTTCTTGATAAAACTTCTAATAGGTAAGAACCTGGTGGAATATCATTTCTTTATAAAAAATTTTTAATTAAATTAATTGAATTGAACTTATTACAAAAACTATATTAAATATATATATAGAAAATTATAAATAAATATTTTACATTATAAATTTTCCATTTTTTCTAATCAAGGTTGAATATTTTCCACCATCTAATATAACTTTTGTTGTTGGTTCAAGTTGTGAAATGTCTTTGAAAATGAAAGATTTGAAATTAAAACAATTGATCAAATCATTTACACAATAATGGTAGTAGGTTTTAAACACAAAAAAATTTAATATATCACCTCTTACAACTTGGTTTAAAGCAAATCTACCTTCTATCGCATAAAGTTCAGTAGACGCTGTTGCAGTTAATAAAAAACATAAAAAACTGAAATAACGCGTAATTGTTGTTAAATTAATGATTTTGCCCCGAGTAAAAAAAAAGAGACAAACATCAATAGTTAACTAATTTTTTTATACCTTATAACGAACAAAATGAATGATCTTGAAGTCTTGTACATTTTATTAAATGAATGGAATGATTATATTAAAAAAATTTTTAAAATGAAAATTACCCAAATTTGGATAAAATTTGTACAACGTGAAAATTTGATCATTCATTTAGTTTTCCCAATTCATCTTCCGTTCAGTAATAAATTGTGAATTATTACTTAATTTATTAACGAAGAGTTTTTTCACCTTGTTTAAAATCTAAAATACACAATCCATGGAACTCAAGAATCACAAAAAAAGAATAAGGAGAAAAGATTGCACCTTATGTTTTTAAAATTAGTTGATATCAAGATGCTTGAAAATTATTTAAGGAAAGAGAAAATTACCTATGAAATTTTCCAGAAAGAAAGATCAATAAAGAAAGGTTAACACAAATTTATAAAGAGCCTAGAAGAAAAAGAAAATTAGATAAAAAATAATTTTCTACTTTAGGTGAGTGAGCATATTAGGGTCTGTTGATTATCACTTTTTTGGTGTTAAAAAACAAGAATGTTGTTGAATGCCTATAAGACTTCCTGATGATATAAATAAATTAATCCAATGAATCATAATTTGCTTTGATTCGGATTGATGCTCTTCATTTTAGCAGACCTTGTTTCAATGAATCATATTAAATGCAATTTTCATATGTGTCTCATCCTGGAATAGATGGTATATAAATACTGAATACATGTGGAAATGGTGGAGAGTAGATATTTCTAACAACCTTTGTGGTATAAGTAAAAAATGCGTCTTATGTTTAAATCTAGTTGTATCTATCATTTGGTAAATTAATTGCCAAGATGTCATACAAAATACTCAAATGAGTTGATTTTGAAGATCTTTTAAATAATTTGTTTAAAGTAAACTTAAAACCATTTCATTTTTTTAGAAAATCTAAAATGCCCAAAGCTACTCAATTATCTGAATCTGAATGTGGAAAAATTGTTGGCTTAAAAAAGGCCAATTTTTCTTATAGAGAAATAGCTTGTATATTAAATAGATCCAAAAGTGCAGTT